GGCATAAAACCGTCGGCGAAAGATATAACCTCGTTTCATAACGAGTCTATTAGATCATCAATATTGAATGACGCATCTTATTTATGCGCTAAATCTTTTCATGATGCCAATTATTTCCATTTTTTCACGTGATCTCTCGCATCGGTTATTAGACTTATCTTGCTCAATCTTAAAACAGTTCGGCGATTTTCAAGTTTTCTAGATGAGACCGAAGGTGATATTTGTGAGAATCGTGATCGATCAGGCGATCGTTCGTTGCGAAATTTTAGATGACCCGAAACTTCCATAGTTGCAAAACTTGATGGAAATTCTCTCGCAAAATGCATTTCTGCGGGATGTCTCGCAAGGTTTCCGACAAAGTTCCAGAGACCGCATCGGCGCATCGCGACTTTTATGGATGAGATCGTAGTATGCACGATCGTACAATTCTTCAATGTGAAATGTTTGAAAAGTCAAAAGTTGCAGAACTTGATGGAAATTTCCTCGTGAAATGTATTTTCAGAGAATCAAGAAAATGAAATTATAATAAACAAGAACCGAGTATCTTTTTTCAACTATAATGCTTTTCAGCTACAACTGCTTACAATATTTTGTGTAATTTTACAAAAACGTTAGTCTAAATCCAGACAATGACAGATTATAAATTAAGCGTGAAATCTAGAGTATACATTGTTAAATATCAAAAAAAAAAAACAATTCAATCTCTTGAGTTAAATAATATTTTATTTTTTAATTTCCATGGTATGTCAAAATGTATGTCAATCTATTAAATATCGGATTAAATAATATCACATTTGTACTGTAAATAATAAACTAAATTTTAATAAAATTTGATATATTTTCTCGAGTTAAATTGTTAACTCCTTTGTTTTAATTAAATTAATGACATATTGAAGATGAAGCGGCGACCTACAAAAATGATTAAAAATAGTTCAAAGTTTAAGTACAATTATGAATTTAACAGTGTATAACATTTTTCGCTAATTACGACAAGATTAATTCTTCTGTCAATGCATAGTTTTTCACCTTTTGAAACCGTGTTTCACAAGATTCTTTTTCACAAAAAATGTAAAAGTAAAAACGAGACAATGGCTATCCAACAAAAAAAATAGCTTTATAACCGTTAGGATTCTTTCTATGATTCTTTTACATATGAATTGATTCATACATTTAGATTCAATGAGGAACTGAAAGCAAAGTTAATCATATTAAAAAATTTTATTGAACACTATCAAAGGGCGCTATTTCATTTTTGCGTTTTTGTCGTACGACAAATGTGTGCAGAAGAGAGGCCCTCGGATCTTTCGATGGTAATATAACCAATCGACAGGCTTGAAAAATTTATCATAAAACAAAAACGCATAAATAAAATAGCACTCTTAATTTGTACAAATTCTTCGTTATTCAAAGGATGAGGCTTTTGAGGCATTATAATACAAAATTCGCGCAAAAATATAAAAATTTTTACTGTTTAAAATTCGATATGAGTAGCCATGTATGACAGAAGGATCAAGAAGATCTTGAAGTTGTGTTCTATCAATCTGTTTTATCAATTATTTTTCAAATAAATATTTTTATAACTGCCTTTATAGATATACATATAGATTAAAAAATCTTTTTCCACAATTAAAGTATAAACGATAATGTCCAAACCGATCGATTTTATGTCAAAAACAAAAAAAGTTAGAAAATTATTAAAGTTCTGTTATTAGCTTCTGACTCGTACTCGTACAATATTTGCTTTATATGCATTTATATTTTTTTATATTTTATACGTGTAAGACTATCTTGATTTGGACTATAGGAATTACATAAACAATGTTGAATTTTTAAAATTAGGTTTAAATAATATGAAAGATTAATTATAGTTAAAATATTTGTATGCGTGCATTATTGAACAATAATGTGTCACTGACACGTAAATCGTATATATATATATATAATATAATAGCCTATCGAATCGATAAAATAGAGACTTTAGGCTCTTCTTATAGAACTAGGTGTTTCATAATAACGATCGAAAATCAGTGATCACGTCAGATTTACCGACCTCGAGAGATTGCAGATCAGCAAGTCGATTCTTTATGGTATGCACATCGTTCATCAAGAGGGCATCGCACCGCGAGATACATCAGGTTGAAATGAACAGAGAGAATAGTCGCACAAATGAAATTCCGCGCTCGCGATTTTCATCGGACTCTCTTTCTCTTTCTCTTTTTCTCTCCGATCTTTTCCTCCTTTTTTTTACTAGCTTCTTTTATTTCGCCCCGTCGACAGACCACGTCCGCGGCAGCGGAGAGCATTTCCGGTCGGCAAGGCCTGGCCGACATTGCGCCGGCGAATATTTAAGCGAGAGGAAAACCAACTCTCTCTCTCTCTCTCTCTCTCTCTCTCTCTCTCTCTTTCTCTCTATATTCAGCCCTCCCTCTTTCACCTTCGCGTTGAGGGAGGAACGCAGTTGAGGGGGTGGCAGTGCGGTTTGTTTGCGGAAAAAAGTCACTCCGTCGGGAGAGCCGCAGCTGCGCGCATCACATTGTTTGCGCGGGGGAGGCCCAGAGCAGGATGCTGCGAGGGGTGAAGAAGAAGATAGGATACGAAGGGGGAAAGCAAAAAGCGTCGAGCACACACGCGCCGAACTTCGGCAAACATCTAGCGAACAGTCGCCGATCTTTTTCTCTTCCATCTCCTCCCAGCCTCTTGATAGCGTTGGAAAAAGTTCCCGTTGCATTATGAAAATGTTTCCCCCTCTCCTCCCCGCGCTTATCAGCCGCGACCGGATAGCGAGCGTTTTGCACGCGTGCATTTGTACGCTAAGCGTAGTGAGTAACGCACATTTCGTAAGATAAAAACCTCTTTGTTCAGAGATTTTTTTCCGTATATTTCACGATTCTCGCGTAATGCACGGCCAGAATGAAACCTACGCCGAGTTAGCTTCAAAGGATCGCTAACAATCTTTAAATCCGGAAAATTACATGCCGCAAAGCTTGTACGTCATCCCAGTTTACTACTTATATGAGCCCTTGGCAGATTTTTGCTGACGCAATTTCTCGATCTAGGCGCAACTTCCATGTTATTATCCACTTCGAACTAGTTTATTCGTACGAAGCCATGCAAATATCCGACCATTCTCCCTGAGCGGCGATGTTTGCAGAATTCCGTACGAGTAAAATAGTACAAAGCTGACTCGCAATTGCACGCTGCGTATACAACGGAGTGCGTACTGAGTGGGAAGTCAGGAAGGGAAAACTAAATAGAGCCGATGGAAAACACGCGCGGCATATTATATTGACCGTCCAGGTCGCGATACATAGCAATGCAATGGTACTACGCGTTCTCCCTTTGATTAATTTTGGTAATTAATGACATTTACTCGGTGGATCGAGTTAACTTTGTGCTCATATATATAAATGCGAATTTGTGGTGATAATAATTTGTAACAACATCTGACTCTCCCTCCGCAATAGTTTATTACAGAAAATATATGCGCGATATTAACAGTAAATTATAGTTTAATCAGGAAGTCCAGATGTAAATTAGTATGAGAAACAAAGGCAATATAATTTCAGAGTGATCAATTGTACGGTATTTTTTTTCATTTTTCATTAAATTTTTATATTAAAAGTATAATTATTAACGCTTATCAGAGGGAATATGTTTAATCGCTATTGTTTCGCTACATCGAATTTTCTATATTAATTCTGAATTAATATAGAATCATATTGTTTCTCTGTACTGTGAATTAATTAAAGTTTGAAAGCTAATCTTTTAAAATATATAAAAGACGAAAGAACAACGAATTACTCACAAACTATTCAATTAAATAAGGTTTAATTGATTCTCCATCTCTCTCTCTCTCTCTCTCTCTCTCTGTAAAGGAAATGATTTCTATCTTTCTTTACTAAGGGAGAGGATTTTGTAAAGAGGAAAAGCGGCAGTCACTTTCAAGTAATGTTCATGGGAACGCTCCTATATAATTTTCCCTTTGCCGAAGACTTTTCTCATACACCATTCGACCTCGCGCACAATTCCCTCGGCAATTCGCGATCGGAGTCGCAAAATTCGCTCGCGATATATTCGCGTCTCGAGCGAATCGCTGTTCGATTTCTCGCAAAGATACTAATGTCTCACGATATCCTGATCGTGGCCCGCTTTCTCCATAAAGTCGCGCAATGGATTCTATCCCATGACAGCCGGGATCCATATAATCCGCTGGAATACAAATGCATCGTCAGTGCGGCACGATTGAAACTCTTCGAATTTGCCGGCGTGGCACGACAACGCGGTTGCGAGCACAGCCTCGTAAATACGCCTCGTAAAAGCAACGTTACACGGTCGCGCGCTTCGAATTGGGACGCAGCTGCCGTAGCTGGCCTTAAAACTTCAACGTCAGGATGGCGCGTTGCCCTGGGACCTGGGTCGCCCTCTCGTTGCAGACGTTCTCGAAATTACCGCAAGCTAATACTCATGCGGACTAGAGAACCCGATGCACGTGTTGCGAGGGACAGGATTCTGAAGAGAAAATCCGACTGCACAGAATTGCCATTATAGCTGCAATGGCTTTCGTGTCGTTAAAGACAGTGCGACATTTTATACTATAAAAGTTTAAAAATAACAATACACTGCACACACGATCGTATGTGATCATTCTAAGTGTAAAATAAATGATTATGTTCCAGCATAAGATATGGTTAATATAAAAAAATATAATATTAGTTATGATTAATTATTATTGAAATCAATTTGTTGTCAACAAAAGAAAAGGCATTCATTTTAAGAGATATGTAATTAACAGGTATGTAGTGAAAGCAGCTTATATTTTGCACACAAATAATTTGTTATTTTTTTGGTAAAATATTTTGAAATATCTGCTCATATAAATATCAAAGTTGTCATGATAGTCAACAATTTAGCCAGACAAGCATGTATTTAATTATAACATTCATATCACATCGTACGAATGCTTTAATTTCAAGCGAAAGCAAATGCCCTGAAATTCTTACCCATATTTTTTCAAGCATTTGCGATTCCTTGTTTTGCAACCATTTCTCGAAAGTCTGGAAAAGGCATAGCATCATAAGTAATTATATAATAGTGTCTCTCTCTCTTAGGGAAATCAGAGCGTTTGTAATAGGTGACAATTTTGTTGCCGGAAGTAAATTGACAAATTGCAAAAGGCAATTATGGGGACTGTCAAAAAAAGCGTGATTCGTACAGTTGTTATCCGCGATAAATCCATCAACGCGTCTCCCAGACCAGGAACCAAATCCGGATAGAGCGATGTGTCTCGACATTGATTTCATTAAGTATTGATTTTCCAGAGGGTGTGGATTCGGGGCCGAATATATGAATGTTGATGGCAAAACGTAGCTCGCTTCTATTATACTGTGCCACAGACTTCGTGCATAATGTACAGCTTACCTTGAAGCTGCTTGTATCTACTTATCAGTGTCTTATCATCGTTAGACCGCGGTATCTCAGGCAAAATAATTCTATTCACAAATCATTCTTATTTGTTTACAAATTTCACATGCCGAAGAAATATTATACTAGATATCTCATGTTCTTCAACTAGATTACGTCAGTTTGCTAATTTACTACTAAATACAATGTGCTATCATCGCTATAGCGCACATGAAAAACATTATTTTGCTAAAATATCTAAAAATTAAATACAGATCTAAAAATAATTATTAAACTTCAAAATTATTATATAGTTCAAATATATAATGGCCAATGTTGCAAAATGTGGTATTTTCACTATAAAAAGTGCAGTGTTGAAAATGTTACATTTAAACTAGATTTTTCAAAATAACGTTTAATAATAAAAAGTATTTTAGTTCCAAATGTTTTAGTGTTTTAAATTTAAATAGTCTTTTAACTATTTAAAAAACGCTAAACAGTATTTATTTTCTTTTTTAAACAAAAAAAAATTTTGTTATGACAATGTTAAATGCTTGTTTCCTTTACATGTCGGAAAACAAAATATCTTATCGATAATAAACGTTTACGAAGGTGAAACGTAAAAATATTATTTTTGCAACGCTAAAAAATATTTTCGTAGAACACGAAAAATGGTGTCGAGTTGAAGTTTTTTTCGTAAAGAAGAATCGATACATTCACCTTGTGACTAGCAAAATTGGCAAACTTAATGAAATAAAATTAATTGGTCCTCATAGAAACTAAATATTACCTTAAAATAAAACAGCTTCCGGTGTTTTCAAAAGCAAAAAACTTTAGAAACTAAACTTCCAAGATAAAACAGCTTTTAGTTTTTTAAAATATTTTTTTAAAAATTAGAGTGTTCTTGAGTGTTACAAAATAATATACTTTAACGAGTTAAACGTTTATATCCTTTCAAATAAGACTGTTTTTTAGTGTTTTGTATGCTCGTTTAAAACTGAAACATCTTTAAGTATACTATTTAAAAACAGAGATAAGGAATATAAAATATTTTAATATCTTAAAACTAAATGCCTTCTTTTATGAGTGAAATTTGTAATAATTGGACAACATCGTCCGGAAAGTTCGTGCCGATGTTGGAAAATTGAAACGCAGAAAATTTTAATTTAATAAATGTATACTAAAATTTAAATTTTAGTCGGCACGAACTTTCCGGACGATCCAATACAATTAAAATACAAAATAATATAAAAAAATTAGATAGATATCTAGCTAAATTTTTGACACTATTTTAAGAAATCGTTCTTTCTTCGCACACATACACACACACACACACACACACACACACACACACACACACACACACACACAAATGCACAAATACATTATGATTTTACTTGACAAGCACAAATTTTAAATTCTTCTTAAACAATGCTTATACAATGATACTTCAAATAACTCACATAGATTGAAAAGGATAAAATTTTAATCTATTCAAATACAAAAGAAAACAAAAGATGTATCATGAATATTCATCAAGCTTAATGCAAGGTTGTAAGGTAGCGCGTAGCGTAGAGATTTCCATCGCGAAAGAGCCAGAAACGGTAACACACGCATCGAAACTCAAAACTGCGTCGACGTAAATTTCCTCCATCAGCGGCGGACAAATAGTTCGTTTCAATCGTCAGTCCGGGCATTTCGCAATATTTTTATGGCCACGTCCGCGCGTTCGTCACTCCCACATCGAATGGTTATATCTCGGAACAACACGAGCCATTAATTGAAAAAATTCCGAGCGGCCGGCGTGGCGCGGATTGGCGGACGCTCGTTTATGCATTGTACGCCGCCGGCGAAAAGGAGAAATAAAGCTCCTCTTCCAGGAGCTCGATTCAAATTAAACTCACTTGGAGGTTAATGCGGTATGAAATGAAAATTGTAAATCGCGCGAGCCATGGCAATGAAAAAGTTTCGCGTGGCCGACTACGCGTCGATGAGATTCGTTCGCCAGCGCGAACGAACGATATTTCTTCCTCGTTCTCGCGCAAACACCCGGTGACTACACGTTGCTTTTCTTCCGTTCTCTCTCTCTCTCTCTCTCTCTCTCTCTCTCTCTCTCTCTCTCTCTCTCTCTCTCTTCATGAAAGCGTCAAACGAGCGCAATTTCGTCGCGAGATATTTATCGGCGTTGACAGTCCCACGTTATATTCCTTCGTTACTGTTCCCTTCGCGTTTTGCCGCGAATTTTTCATTCAAACGATGCTGAAATACATGCTTTGTATGCAGCATAATTCTGCAAAGACCACCCTTTATACGAAAACCAGAAAATTTTCTTCTTTTCTTTCTATATGTCTTTACTTTAACACTAGAATGTCAATGATATCCTGCTTAAAAGTGCCAATCTGATGATAATCCTATCCTCATTTTCCATTAAAGAAAATTGATTTGTAAATCAAAATTATTTGTATTATTTTCACATATATTTTCAATATATTCTGTATTGTATATTTAATAGAAAAAAGAAAAGAATTGAAATAAAGCGAAATCAAAATGACATCGGCGTTCTAATGTGAAATGCAATATTTATTTCAATTGTTTTTAACAATTGTCGAAACTAGTCGGCCGATCGATTTACACTGAAAAGAGAGTCTTGTAAAAGCTATCGAATGTTGAGTGAAATAATTTCAATTAAATGTTCAATTAATAAAAAATAATTTTGTTTTTCTACATATTTAATAATTGTTGCCAAATGATTGATTATATTATTATGTTTGATAATATTTATTAAATATTTAAAAAAGTAAAATTATTTTGGTTGAAAAAACAAAATTCTATTAACCGAACATTTGATTGAAATTATTTCACTCAACCTTTGACAGCTATTACCAGACTCTTTCTCTATGTAACATTCATATGTAGTAATTTAACTCATATAAGCCCAGTTGACACTTAACTCTTAACCGAGGTTCAACTTATTCATTATCTTTTTTCAATTCTAGAATTGGAAAAAGATGAGAAATAAGTTGAACCTCAGTTAAGAGTTAATCATGAGTTGTGAAACTGGACCGTAATCAATATGAGAGATAGAGAATATTTCTACAGTGTGCGTTAAGCAGAATCTTTCAATGCACAGAGCTCGACGATAAATGGTTGCAGTCAAAACGATCAGTGTATCTCGGGAGGATTGGCGCACGTGCGTGACGAAAAGAAAAGAGAGAAAGGGATGGTTCATTCAGCCTGGCCCTTTTCTTCTCGATTTCTTTTCTTCACCGTTCCACCTTCAACGCTCCCTTTGTGCCACATTACGAAATCACGTTGAAACTGGAACGATGCGCGCTGTCATTCTATCTTCTTTGCCACGCGTGTACTTTCACGAGAGCTTTTGGCAGCTGACGGCCCGCGGACTTGACGGCCACGGCTAAATTTGGAGGGCCGAAAAGGTGATGTATAAGCTCTTCGCTGTCGCGCACGTGTTTTGCCTGCGAACATCGCGCGTGTAAGAGACGCAGCCGTTGGATATATATATATATAAATACTCCGTGATAAAAACGGAGAAGAGCAGGGTTGAGAGGGAGTGAGTCATCCTTTTGCGCATGCCGATGCTCATTCATGATTTTTTTTCCTTCCGTGTTCAGGAACCGATAATTATAGAAAAATACCTGTGCTGTTATTATCATAATGGCACCCCATAATAAGATAAATATAACGAAGAAAACGATCGATTTCATGGACATGATAAAAAGTAGGAGTAACGTCATAATCTCGAATTTGAGCTTCGCGAACGTTAAATATTTCAGATTTAATAAATAATAATGTAATAAATTAATAATGTGGAAATAAATTTAAAATATATTTAAGAAATTGAAGGTTAGCGATAAATAATTCCTCCGATATTTTTACAAGAAAAAATAAATAAAAAATTTGCAAGGGTAAAAGTAGAAAAATAAATGCAAAGTGAAAACTAATTCCATAATTGATTTATATCATATTCGAAAAAAGGACACAAGAAGTTTTTTAAAGTAAAAAAAAAAAATTAAAGGTTAGGTAATAAAATAATTTCTCTTTTTATAAAAAAAAAAATCTTACGAAAGTAAAAAATATAGATTAAAAATATAAAAGATCTTTAAAAAAAGTGTATGCATGATTAAATAAAAAATTAACTGGTTAAAAGTAGATTTAAAAAAAAGTACACATGAAAGAAAAGATAATTCTATAATTGATTCACGTCACATTCGAGAAAAAGATCTACGATGTATAAAGATTGCTTTAACCGTACACGCAACTCGCAAACTGTAAAGAGAGATTATTCATGGTGCCAACGGCTACGTTTCAGATATTCTTACACATCCATCGCAAAGCTGGATTCGAGATTCGGAGCAAGCGGGAGCAACAATGCGATCTGAATCAGACGAAACGTCCGGGTTCTTTCGGCTCTCAAAGAGAAATCTACCGTACTGTGTGCATGCCTGACAATGACGGCACGTGGATTCCAACTGTGTATACCTTACAGAACAGCTCACTACACGGCGTCTGATCCATACTGGAAACTGATCGAAAGAAGCATGGCAAATAGAAACGTTTTGTATCTGTGTGCATGACGTCGTACACTGTAATACGTAGCAGAATATTTTTGACTCGGAAAGTAGAAAATAGAAAA